ACGACTTCAGCCTCGGTGGGAGTCCCCCCCTTGCAAGGAACTTCAGCGGGCTCCTTCCTAACCCCTGCTGAGGGGAACCTCTCGACGAGGAGCCATCAAGTGACCCGCCGAGGTACAGAGGCTGATCTGCTAACGGGCAGTACCCAGGTGCACCGCCAACAGGCGCAAGGAGGCGCAGCGACTGCTATGGACCTTACAGTATGCATGTCTCCAGCCTTACTGGTCCCTGCGAATGCAGACCCCGCTCCTCTGACTGAACTGGGCCCAGCCATGGCTACCCCACTGGGGGCAACTGCTGTGGACCCCTCCAGAGATACCGACCAGGACATTATTGACCCAAGGGACAGTGACTCTGGCTCAGAGCCTCCTGATCCTTCCCAGACTCTAGGGGGTGAGGATGCTTCTTGTACTCTACCTGCTGATTTTCATAAGTTTGCTGCTTTAGTGGAACGTATGATAAAGGCACTTAACATACCTGCCCCAAAGCCACCTGAGCATGTGGAGGATCCGATGTTTCCGTCGGATGAGCAAAACGTGATCCCCTCCTCTGCTCTCCCACTTTTACCGTACTTATTGAAATTAGCTAAGGTGGCCGATATGTCCCCCTCGGCCGTGCCGGCGGTCCCTAGAAGGTTGGACACGTTATACAGGATTGATATGGCCACAGCCAAGTGGGTGATAGCCCCTCCCAAGGCAAACACTGTGGTGGCAGAAGTCACTAAATCTAAACGCCCCAAGAGTTCAGTGACCACCCCCCCTGACAGGGAAGGGAGAAAATTGGACACCCTGGGTAAAAAGGCCTACCTTTCTGCCAGTTTATATACACGCATGGCTCATTATGCAACATATATGAGCGGTTACCAATCATTTTTATGGAACCGGATGTTGTTGTATATTGAGTCCATACCCGGGGAAGAGCAACGCCTTGCCAGAGCATTACAAGGGGAAGCCCTGGCGTTGTCAAAACTACAAAAAGACTTCGCAAAACATATGGCGGAAACAGCGGGGAACTTGTTTGCCACGGCCACCTCCATTCGCAGACACGCCTGGTTACGGGCTGCAAATCTCTCAGAGGAGGGGAAGGCCTTGGCTGAGGACCTCCCCTTTCATGAGGAGGGCTTGTTTAACCCTAACACGGACGAGCATTTGAAGCAAAAACAAGATGTTAGGCAATCCGCCTCTAAATTTGGCTACACTTGGCAGCCATACAATCAACAAAAGCCAAGATGGCAAACCTCCACCCCCTCTTACCGTAGATCATTCAACAATTCCTTTTCTGGGCCTTTTAGAAATCGCTCGGCGGGATCGTCGAGGTTTCAGGGGGGTCGTCGAACCCCTTATTTCCAAAGGAACAGGGCTCAACCCTTTCAGGGTAAATCCAAGCCTGCTGGCGCCCCCAAGAAGCGCCTTTGATGTCCCATTGGGGAATAGCGGACAGGATGTAACTGATCGCCCGTCTGGCTTGTTGCAGGACGCCCAGTTGGTTGTTCCATCCCCACATGGTTCACTTCCCCTGAATATTGACAACCCCGTTGGGTCTTTTTCCTTGTTCGAAGACAGGCTCGCCCCCTTTTACAATGAATGGGCAAACATTACCACAGATGCCTGGGTTTTGTCTATTGTTGCTGATGGTTATAGCATTGAGTTTGAGGACACTCCCAGGGTCGGCCGGGTTCGGGACACGCCCTTTTCCCCTCAGATTATGGAGGAGATTGCAATGTTGTTACAAAAGGGGGCCATCTCACCAGTGGACCCGTCTGCGGTTCCGTTCTGTTTCTTTTCTAGATACTTTCTGATTGTTAAACGTGGAGGGGAAATGCGTCCTATTCTTGACCTTAGGGCTCTCAATAAACACATTAAGCCCAAAAGATTTCGTATGGTGACTCTTGCTTCCATAGCCCCCCTGCTCTTTCGGGGGGCCTGGTTTGCGACCGTCGACCTTAAGGACGCGTACTTCCACATCTCCATTGCCCCGCATCACCGGAGGTTTCTCTCCTTTCGGGTCAATGGTCAAACATATTGTTTTAATGTCCTGCCATTTGGCCTTTCCGTTGCCCCACGGGTATTCACGAAGTGTATGGCCGTTGTGGCCGCGCACCTGAGGACGAGGGGCGTGTCCGTGTACCCTTACATTGATGACTGGCTGATAGTGGCTAGATCTCGCGGCTTGTTACAACATCATGTGTCCACGGTTTTGTCTCTTCTCCAGTCGCTGGGCCTCGTCCTCAACCGGGAGAAGTCGGTCTTGATACCCTCGCAGCGTGTCCAGTTCATCGGGGCGCTCCTGGATTCCGTTGCAGAGAG